GGAGATGTACTCAGTCCAGAGGAAAAAGGTGAGAACTATATACACCAAGGGTCCTGGATTCTAAGTTTGGCTCTTCCACTCATTTACTATATGAACAAATCACCTATAGTCTCGTGCACCAGTTTTCAAGATACTTATCTATCTTCTAAATTCAAAGCATGCAATGAAAGTATTCTGAAAAGTTAAAGTAATATACAAAAGGCTGACAGTAATAATGTATGACTATAAAGTTATATGAAAGTATCTTTGTTGGATAAAATTATATTTGTATATTACATAATTGAAGTATTATAAACAAGTATTTAATGGATTGATAATGATATATAAAATGATAATTTGTATATTAGTCACTGGGTAAAGTAACCAGACAGAATAAAGCTTTTCTTCTTTCATTGGTATCCCCATTTTTTAAAAGTCTTCATTTATCTTTCTTAAACTTCTTATAATATATTTTAATTTCTAGGTCAGAAATGAACTAACGGAACCTATCAATGTGTACCAAACAATCAGAGCTACATGTTTTCAATATTAGATCTAACTCTAGGGCATTAGAAGCCAATGGCCAAGCCACCTTAAAATTCTGTTCAAATGCAAACAGTCTATTGTTTTAATTTTAATACACTCTTTTTGTCTTACAAATAAATATAATTTACAAGTGGAGAGGCTCCTCTGGGTTATCTAAAACAAGTCATTTTAGAGATGAGAAAACGAAGAATCCCTTTTCCATATCATTCCAGTTTATAATTATGTTTACTAATGTAAGCCATCTCAAACCTTTCTGAAAATAGGTGAGAAAAATTCCTAAACAAATAAAAATCCACAAAAAACTAACTCCACTCTTTTCTCCCCACTCCCCACTCCTCAGTTGAGTACTTTGTCTGCCTGTGACCAGGGAGCAGAATTCTGACTCGGGGACCAGTTTTCTTTCCACTGTGCCATGTCACTTCAAATAGTGGAAATTACTTTTTCCCAAGGCTTGAATAAAACCATTTAGGAGTAGCGCACTAAAATCAACACGATGGATTTGAACAAAATTCACAAGGCCTTTTGGAGAAAAGTTGGAAATATTCAGGTAACCTAAAAATTATTTACTCTTACGCTGGATAAAATTCTCCTTTTTAAGTCATCCCTACAAAATGCAAACACCGTGAAACTACTTTAGAAAACAGTTACCTGTATTCCAAAGAGCATGACAATTATTGAGGTGGGGGAGTTCTGAGGGGAGGCACAAATGTGCTGCCTATTTCAAACGGTTGTTAGAATCGGGTGAGTAATGTGGATCAAAACTCCTGCCAAGACCCCAGGCGGAGAGGCTGCCCTCAGAGATAAAGGCAGGGTGGGGGCTGCATTTTGAAGTGAGAGAGAGTGCAAAGGACTTGCATAAATGCAAGACTGCACATGGTGGCACAAGGGTAGCATTGCAAGGAAGGCATTTGCGTGACAGCACATACCTGAGTTCTGTGCAGGACACGGCTGGCAAGGTTCCCCAAATGCATACTCAATGTTGGCACAGCAGCATTCCGATTTAGTAACAGCACCAAACAAGGGCTTGACACACTGGCCTCTCTTGTATCCACCGTAGCATGTGCTCCGCATGTGTGTGTCTAAACGGGAAGACACATCTGTCATCACACCATTGCTTCAAACAGATGAGAGCCCCCCCCCCCAGGTCAAAGTTGAAGCTAGCTTTATTTATCCATCATCCCAGTTCTTACTCACAAATAATGCCTCTGGTGTTTGGTCTCAATAAAAAATAATAAAACAAAAAAAACTGCATTCAATTTCCAAGCATTGGAAACCAGTGGCCAGATTCCTTCAGTGTTCTAGGGACTATCCTGGTTTCCCTAACTGGGAGGCACTTAGGCGCTGGAATTATACTTCATTCATTTCTGTCTGCCCCAGGCCTATACAAAGCAGACACTTCATAATGAATGATGGCTGATGGCTGATTATCATCCCATGATAAATAAGATCTTTATGAATTGTGGCCTACCTCTAAATAGACATGTAATTATTGAATGTCTGAATTAGATGTACTTTCAAAAAAGAGAAGTTTGATCTGTCAAGATTCATTACATAAATCTGTAAAAGCTGGCCAATAAATAGTGTCATCTTTAGCATCAGGGAGGGGGTGTCCAGCTATGCCCAATCCCCTCCCAATTCAAAGGGTTCACTAACTATCTTTCTTAAAAATAATTTGAGTAAAATTCATATCTATTTCTCAAGAAATCTCAAACTTCTTATAAAGCCATTATCATGTAAGTTTCTTGGTTATGCATATCCTCCTCCGCTGCATTCTATATTTCCCTTTGAACATTAATACTCGATGAACATGTTGCTAAGAGATAATGAGCATACACAGGCCAATTTCAAAAACCATTATCAATCAAGGAGGGTTGGAGAAAACTGAGGACAGCTATGTGATTAGGAAAGAAAAGGGGTAAGAAGAGATGAGGATTCCTTTGCTTTTCATTTACTGTAGCTCATCTTTCTATCGCTTAAATTAATATCCAATTTATCCAAGAAGAGAACTGACTGTTGGTTTGTTGCTCGATAAATATTAATTATATCATATCTGCTGCAGTTGATTGCATTTGCTATTGGTGGGTTTTATTGATTGACAGAGCATGGATCGCTATCCTACATCCAGTTATGGCTTAACCTACCAACACACACTCGCCCATCCAGCCCCACGGCCAGTCCTGGAAAGCATTCACATTTGTAGGAGCCATCAGTGTTGACACAACGCCCGTTCATGCAGATCCCCGGTGTTTCACACTCGTTAATATCTGTGGTGTGGAAAAGCACTTATTAAAAAAGAAGTAACTTTCATCTACAGCCATAACATGTTTATAGTTCTATTACAACATTTGGAAATGGGGAAGATGGGACATAATATGCAGGATCAGCAATCAAAGCTCAATAAAATGCATTTTCAGTGTCCTTTGAGAGAATAGCAACACAAACCAAGAGAAATAACCTGGCTGAGTTTATTTCTTTTCCGTAGAAAGCTATTTTAATAGCATTCTCCTAATATATATATACATTTTCCAAAATAAGAATCACAAAGGCAAAAACAGAACTGGCAGCAGAAGAAAAGTGACGGCTAAAATACAAAGGATCTGGTGCAATGTTTCACATGACAATTCTTCCAGGACTGCCAAGAATCTAGCTTGATAATAAACTGCACCTTTGACCTGGGCAGAAAGCTTTTCCTTTGGGCATCCAATACCCAGAGTGGTATTCATTCTAGTATGCCCCAGGCCTTAGTTCTCTGAGACAATTAGCATGGCATTAAGAGACACAGAACTAAAGCCTCGATGACACACCATGGGACAGGAATAGAAAATGAATGCAGATTATTTTGATGACCATTCCTGGCCAACAACAGCACTGTAAGTAATTGGAACCCAGCAAAGAAAAACATTTCACAGGCATTACAAACACTTTATAGTATCGTGTGTGCATACTTAGGTGAACCTGATAAATGTCTTTACTGGATACATACCGATAATAGTAGTGATTCCCGCCCCCCTTAATATAGGGAAATAAAGATGATACCAAAATTGTGTTTTGGAAAACATATAATACTTAGAAGCAAGTCATTTTATAACAACTCCTTTTATAGTAGACAACTGGTGTATGCAACTCTTTCCATTCTTTTGACCTTAAAAAGGCAAACTGAGACTGAAAACACCTCGGCCTTTTACTTAGCTTATGTTGTTTGGCACAAAATATATACAGATGGTCCAAGATTCTGTGTACAGATTTGTATGTAAAATGGCAGTTATATTTAAATACATGAACTCAAATTGGTCCACTTACTTGAGTCACCTTTTGTTCAAGACGAGACCTACAGTAAAACAGTGGCAACTGCAACATGAAAAGTAACATGAAGGGTTTTTTGTGTGTGTTTTTACTGGGGACACAGATATAATACTGATTGCTCAAAGTAAGCAGCCTCAGCTTTCAAAAAGTGGCCAGGGAGCCTGGTCAGTGTTGCTCAGGGGTTGAGTGTCGACCTATGAATCAGGAGGTCACTGGTTTGATTCCTGGTCAGGGCACATGCCCAGGTTTCAGGCTTGATCCCCAGCTGGGGGCATTGCCGCAGGAGGCAGCTAATCAATGTTTCTCTCTCATCATTAATATTTCTATCTCTCTCCCTTTCTTCCTCTCTAAAATATATATATATATATATAGTTTTTAAGTGACCAAGGAGGCCATGCTGCTCATCAGATGAGTTAACTACAGAGATTGAATTAGCAGTTTATTTGGCTTTGAACAATCACATCTTTGTGGGCTCAGAACTAAGTGCTCAGCACTAAGAGAAAAACATTGTCCTGTGATGGCAAGAGGAAAACCATGGAAAATAAGAAAATCTGCATATAAGGAATTTTCTTTTTCCTTTATTCTTATTACAGTGTGTGTTCCATGTTCTCTATATACCAGAAAAGAAAGAAGACTGGTAAGACTATGGAGCATTTTCCCTCTCTCATTCTCTCTCTCTAGCTTTCATTCTTAAGCCAGATTGGTAAAGTCAGAACAAATCTTCCAAGTCATTAGGAACTTTCAGATGAATGGAACAACCTATCCTATATAATCCTATATAATAAAGAGCTAATATGCTAATTAGACCAAATAGCAGAAAAACCATCTGGACGACCTTCCTGGATGAAGCTGGGGCTGTGAGAGCCATGCCCCTTGCACAAATTTCATGCATCAGGCCTCTAGTTTATTGATAAGATACTATTTCACTGGTTGCAAATAGTTACAAAAACTAGTTTCATCTATGAGGTCATAGTGTCTTCTGAAATAGTTCCATCACCATTCTCTATTGGCATACGTAATGCTGAGAGGCTATGGGCTGGCTCACTAGCAGCCTAAAGGCACTGAAAGTGAATCTTAGTGTGCTCTGTGGGTAGCTAAGAGGAGTGTGTGTTCTTGCTAAAGGTCTGCTCACAGGGAGCCTTCACATCTCTTCCCCTTTCTTTTTCACTTGTACTGCACTTGATCTGTACATTTTGGCACTCCGTTATGCTGTCTTACATTGCAGAATATTTCCATATGTTCATCTTGTCTTCCCAACTCGGAGTTTCTCCCTGTACAGGGCTCCAAAGTACAGAAACCAATTTTCTACCTCAAATTTGAAAACTCAAATGTTTTCCCTTGCTATGAAGACAGATTTGCCCAACATTAAGTTAAGTCACTGCTGTGAAGGTCATAAAGAATGTAGGTAAACAACCAAGAACTAGAAGCTCTTTAAAGCCTAGAGAACATGCACATCTTGCCAAAGACTTGATATAAGGCTTTCTTCCATAACACCTTTACCAAAGCTGTCCACCAGCTGGAGAAGGGGCACCACTGAACTTTATCCTGCTTCCACAATCGTGAAGAGCTCGATGCTCTGTGTTCCCGCATCTGAACCTAGGAGCAAAAGGCTTTGTGTGCAGCACTTTAGCGGATTTCCGGGGCCTGCTTTGAGGGTGAAGTTTCTTGAGAAGTCTGGTTCCAACTCAGATCTTGAACCCAAGGGCAATAGTCTCTCACCCCTGACTAAATAAAGTAAGAGACTCTAAACACAGATGGATCCTCTATTACTCTCCTTAGGAACCCAGATTTCAAAAGCACAAATGAAAATCTTCACTTTTGCTTCAATACCTGGAGCAATGAGATTATTTCAAAAGCTACCAAGCTACACAGTGGCTCTTGGTTCATTTATCTGTTCTGCTTAATCCTGTTTCCCTTTTGTTTCTTGATAAAGCCTAAATAAATTGTCCATGAAGAATTTTCTGTTCCTTAAGGTATGTGGCGGGAATCATGAAAAGAGATCACTGCAATGAGTCCACGTTTTTCTGTCCAGGTGAAGATGGAAGAGGTGGCAAAGGGAAGCCATTAAGGAGGCTGACTGCCATTATTCCCCAACTTTAAGGAAGGGGCAGACCCACCTTATCCAAAAGGCACTCTCATCTATTGGTAGACCAATTGGGCTCCTTTAAGGAGGCCCCAAACATCCTTTCTGTAATAAGGACAGCCTCCTGGGCACTCAATGTAGCACTTTGGATGGCTGGACTTAGGAAGTTGCGTAAGCCAGAATTAGGAGTAATTTAAATGGGGAGAATCAATAAGGAAAACGGTACCTCTAAGTAATATAGAGAGAAGGAAAAAGCAGAACATGATGTAGAGTTCTACAGCACGAACCTTTACAGTAACGCCCATCTGATGCCAGCTGAAATCCAGGTTTGCAAATACATTTAAAACTGCCATCTTCATTGATACACATTCCATTAAGGCAAATGTTCCGTATGCTGCATTCATCCATATCTTAAAATACAAAAATACATTTTCTTAGGACCAGAAGAGTAAGCCTACAAAGGAAGCCAACCTAGATGGATATAATTGTTTCTTTACATTTCTTTCTTTTTAAAAATTATAGTCTAAGGCCATGGTCGACAAACTGCAGCTCGCAAGCCACATAAGGCTCTTTGGCCCTTGAGTGTGGCTCTTCCTAAGCCTTAGGAGCACCCTAATTAAGTTAATAACAATGTACCTACCTATATAGTTTAAGTTTAAAAATTCGGCTCTCAAAAGAAATTTCCATCATTGTACTGTTGATATTTGGCTCTGTTGACTAATGAGTTTGCCGACCACTGGTCTAAGGCTAATTATCATCCAAATTACAGCACACAAACAGAGAGGGGCCATAGGAAATATGTATCTCAAGTTCTCAATTTTTGACATGTGCATGCAAACTATAAGGCTAAATTTATTTTATGACATGTATATATAATACACACATATACACATACATGTATACATACATACATATAAGTTCATATATAATTTTATGTCATAAAAACATACATATACATATTATGAAATTTGACTCAATAGAAACTACCAGGACTCTTTTAAGGAATAGCAGTTTAAAAACTGAAAATGTGTTAGCAGCCTCAAGGTTAAATTTACTTCACAGATCCATATTACTTCTCATATACCAAAAATAAAAAGTCAGTAACGGAATTTTGAAATTTGTTTAGGTGATTTCATGATTCTTTAAAAAGTGGAAACCAGAGCCCTGGCCAGTGTGGCTCATGTGGTTGGGCACTGTCCCATGCACTAAAAGGTTGCTGGTTCCATTTCCGGGCAGGCCACATGCCCAGGTTGTGGGCTCCACCCATAGGGGGCATGCAGAAGGCACCCTTCGCTGTTTCACATGGATGTTTCTCTCTCTCACCCTCCCACTTCCTCTCTCTAAAAATCAATCAATATATATAGTTTAAAAAGTGGAAACCAGAGAATCAGAGGACAGCTTGAAGTTTGAAGCAATTTCAAATAGGAGTAAGAAAAAATGTATTTTTAAAATGCAAGACTTGACTATGGATTACAGTCACGCCAGCTAACTTTTAAGGATCCTTTGACCATGAGGATATTTCTTTAAATTCATCAATATGTTATTTTATTTAATATTCAAGCTGTCTTGGGAGGCACTTGATCGAGACATGGTGTGTTTTTACTTACCGGCATTAGTCAGATCAGTGTAATTTATGATTTTTTTTAAAACAGGATTCTATCCCAATGAGAATTTTGGCATTACGTCTTTGAATTGAATCACTGAGATAATATTCTGCCAAAAATGTTTCTAAGAACAATTTTGAAATTCTTTTAATGTATGAATAGATTCTTGGGATCTTTCCCAAAGACGTTGGGAAAGATGATAAGGGCCATTCTTCATTTTTCACTGAAAGTCTAAGAAGTGGAAACTCATCAATAATTGCCATAGTTTCAATTTAGGAAAATATGACAAGGGAAAAAGACAAAATATTTGAAACAGCCCAATTCAAAAAAAATGAGGTAATTCAAGAGATAATATAAAATTATGGCTGGCTCTCTATAGTCAAATATTCTCTCAATCAAATTTTACATTTTCAGATACCCGTTAGTAATATGTTATTACTAGGTAGACAGTTTAAACAAAAAGATCATATATGACTAAAGAATAAATGATGTACCCTGCATTTTAAAAAATAATGTACAAGTTCTAATTATATAAAATTAGGAAGTAATGATTTATGCTACCTAAGTTTCATCATAACCAGGGATCTTTAAATGGCAAGCTCTCCTCCTTTATTTAAAATGTATTTGACTCACAGAAATGTGAATTAAAGGCATGGATACTGTTGAAAATTATGCTTGCCTCCAAGATAACAATATGTGAAATATATTTGATATTTTGAACTTTCACTCAATGGTTGACTTGGTCTTGTTAAAGACATCTGATATTGACACTCACTGGAAGAAGGGAGATAATAGTATTATACTGTTATTGTTAGCATGCTGTCATTACCTTCACAGTTCTTCCCATCTCGTGTAACCTGAAAGCCCGCATTACACACACAATGGAAACTGCCGTCTGTGTTGATGCAACGTCCATTATTGCATATCCGGCCGTTCTGTAAACATTCATCAATGTCTAAATCAAAGTTAAAGTAGAAGAGATAGCGTTAGTGAGGGGGTTAAAAATTATTTTATTTCTCCCTCCCGCCAACTCCAAACTCATAATCTTACTCTTGGGTCACAATTACTAAATAATCTTCAAACATAAAGTTGGTATCAAATATTGTGAGAAATAAGATTACTGACTAGAGTTTGAAAGACATATGACAGAAGAAAAATGTCAACATAAGAGTGCTCCCTCTAGCTCTAATTTCTAATAAGACTCTTTAAACCTCGATTTATAAATAAAATAGATTCTTCTTCACCATTTTCCTAGCTGAGTTAATGAGCCAGTATACACCATTATTCATGTTGAACTTTGGCTGGTGTCCTTCAATACAGTTGCTTGTATGGAAAATAATACAATACTCAACAAAATATAATACAAGAATAAACTCTGTTTCATATATGAACAGCAGTAAACCTACTTTTGCCACATCCTGTTTATGATAAAAAAGGCAGATCTGATAGCTATATCAGAATAATAAAACAGAAATGCCATTAAAAAATATTTAATTCTGTCTGAAAACCATCAATCACATGACTCTGAAATGTCTACCTTCCCGATAGCAGTTCTGGTCCAAGTGCAATGTTATTGTTTATTTATTCCTAGTCACCTTTCTAACTTCATGAGTATTCTAGTGACCAAATAAAACATTGGTACTGTGGGCATTTCCCTCTTCTTTTCTATTGTATTCAATATTATGCCAAAGTAAACAGCAGAGCTTGATGTGAAAGTGTTAAAGTTGACAATAACTGGAGTAAACGTATATCGGATCTCTCATTTAAAGATTGATAGTAAACCCAAATTGGACAAGGCAGTGTCCTGGATTATCTGCTCCTCTCAGTTTCCAGGCTCAATACCTGGAGGAACATCAAAGATGATGAACACAAGCCGCCTTGTCCACATAGCACACAATCTTTGCCAGGGCTTATTCCCCAGAAGGCCGAGACCAGGGATCTGTGGAGAACCGGATGAGAGCAGACCTACCTATCGGAGCTGAGACCACATGTGCCTGATTATAAGTGCCCTCAACGCCCTCCGGAGGACAAGAATGTGCACTCATGGCACATGGGTTGTTCTGGCTGTCTCCCCGCGTCTGCATGGTGTCTTGTGGTTGACCCTCAGGCGCACTTTCTTTCTGGGCAGACCCGGCAGTGGTTTCCACACGAGTCCTTGGACTAGCTGCGGCAGTCTGGGCTTTTCTTCTGTCTGATCTTTGTGCCAACAACCTCCGATCTTTTTCTCTCTCATTTATTTCTTAATCCTTGCTAAAATCTGACTTGCTCCACACTCCAAAAAAAATAGGAAAACCCACATATTCTTGAGGATAGGATAAAGAGTTCAGCGTTTTCTCTCCTAACTAATTTCTGAACGCCCCAGGCTCCCTGCAGCTCTACAAGATGAATGAAAAGCTTGCCATTCAAAGTCTGTCTCTTCTGACCTCTACTCAGCCCATCAATGAAGTACACAGCCTTTCTGACCATCTGTGGCAAGTATCTACCCAAAAATGTGAGCATGTTATCCATTTTCTCTGTTTGTGATAAGCTTATTAGTACTAGCTATTAACGAAGACAGTGCCGGAGGCTTTTAGGTAATCCTCAGTCTCTCATAAAGCAATCCTCACATTAATGACAACAACATTCATCTCCACTGCTGGCTGTGCCCTACGTGAGTGCTCCCAATAGTGTCTTCGAGTCATTTCCCTAATAGTGTGGACTTCCAACACATCGCTTTCTGTTTGTTTTCTACTATTGCAAAAATGCCTAGCACACTGTTTGTACATGCCAATGATAGTTAGATTATTTATTCTATTTTAGAACATTTTTAATATTTAAACAATATATTAAAAACTATTGTTTAAATATTAAAAAGGTTCTAAAATAGAATAAATAATCTAACTATCCACACTTCTAATTCAATAAGTATGCTAGTAATAGAAATATCAGCAGACTGAAATGCTACATACTCCAGTTCTTTTCTGCTCAAAACTGCCAATTGCAAGCAGTGAACTAAAATATACCGCTGGCAGGCAATCTCCAACTCAGAACAAAATATGAAGATTTTGAAATTAGTCACTGATACGAACACTTATAACTTCTGTATGTCTTCAACTCATAGCGTTTGCTAAAAGAGGCAATAAAATTAACTCTTATGAATGGCTTACAAATTTTTAAGTCATACAAACCTCCCATCTTTCCTTGTATTTAATTTTAACAGGGAGTTTTCTTGCTTTTATCTGGTTTTACTGGATCAGTGATACAGCTCATTCTGTGCCAAATTTATAAAGATATAGATATATGAGTTCTCTGAGGGTGGGGAGTACCCCTTGGTACATCACAGTCAACCAATAAAAGGCATTTTGGGTGACTTGATACGTTCATGAAGAAACAAACCTGAAGGGAAATTTTCATGAGGAACCACTGATAACAGAGCTTCAAAAACGTTAATGTGCACGTGGATCCCTGAGGATCATGTTAAATTTAAATGTGATTCTTCCTTGGCAGATCTGGGGTGGGACCTGAGGTTCTGCACGTCTCACCAGCAAACGGGTGATGCAGCAGCTGACCGCAGCAGGAAGCAGCAAAGACTTACAGGCTACTTCCTCAGCCTTTAGACCAGGGGTGGGAACCTTTTTTCTGCCAAGGGCCATATGGATGTTTATAACATCATACTCAGGCCACACAAAAGTATCAACTTAAAAATTAGCCTGCTCGATTTGGTCAAACATTTAATTAACACACCCCTAATGTCTTGGCTGGGCCAAACCAAATGATTTCTCGGACCTCATACAGCCCACAGGCTGGACGTTCCCCAGCCCTGCTTTAGACTTTGCCATTAATAAATTAATTGCATCCACTTTCACCTGAGACTTTCCGATTCAACAAAAGACAACGCCATTCCCTAACTCTCAGATAAAAAATTAACAGGCGATAGTGATGAGGCAAAAAAAAAAAAAAGTAGTGAAAATCAGGACATTTCTGCAGGCACAGAAGCTTCTTTTAAAATAATTTGAATGTCAGATTTTCTGACAATGTCCTTTGAAGTAACGATTTTCTGGAGTGAAGTACGAAAATCAGTGTGACCATGTTAGCTGTTCCTGGTAAAGGTTAGTTAAACCCCACTGAAGTCCTTCGAAGCAAATCTCTCACTGAGCACACATGCCCCGCCTCCCCCCATCCCAGCGGGACGTACCTCGGCACTCCGTCCGGGTGAGCGTGCTCTGGTAGCCGGTGCGGCAATGGCAGGTGTAGGAGCCCGGGTTATTAATGCACTCTCCCCCGGCACACGGGTTTTTCTCACATTCATCCACATCTGAAAAACACAGTATATTTTAGTAAGAAATTTGATAGCATAACTCATAACTCCAGGCCATTTTATTGGTTTCCTTTTTATGTTAAAATACTTTCATTTTAAGAACTAAAGAGCGTAGTCAAAGGATCTCTTTTCTTTCCACTGCAGAGCGCCGTGTCACCAGCCACTTGAAGTCTGGTGGGGCAGTTCAAGTGTATTCTTCTCTGTGTCATTTTTCAGAGAAAAATGCTGAACACATAGCAACTCAACACTCCAAGCTAATAAACATTTTATCTTCCCTGAGTCTTGCCCAAGAGAATCAAACAGAATAACACTTCAGAAGCGGCTTCTGGATAGGATTCTGAGTATCTCTTGAAGCCTGATTTTCCCATAAAAAGGTGTGACACCATCTAAGCATCCCCCGCTGAACTCCACTGGGAACATTAGAACAAAACATGACCCCCGCTGTCCTCTAAAGGGCCATTCTCACCCATCATGGAGCCCTCCTTCACCGGGTCCCCAGACAGACTCCCACTAGTTTTACAGTCATGGCGAATTATCAGTAGTGGCGAATTATCTATTGCAGTGGTTCTCAACCTTCTGGCCCTTTAAATACAGTTCCTCATGTGGTGACCCAACCATAAAATTATTTTCGTTGCTACTTCATAACTGTAATGTTGCTACTGTTATGAATAGTAATTTAAATACTGATATGCAGGATGGTCTATGTGACCCCTGTGAAAGGGTCGTTCAAACGCCAAAGGGGTCGTGACCCGCAGGTTGAGAACCGCTGCTCTATTGTAAAGGCGAGGAAGCTAAGGCTCACAGAGGATACACTACCTGGCCAAGGTCACATGCTTCTTGTGGCAGGTGCAGGTCTGACCTCACACTCCCCAGCCCTGAGCTGGATGTTCCCTCTTCTGCCCAACTCCGGGTGACCTCTAGGGTTGAATGACTTTCCAATGGGCTGCTAGGGGGGCTTTCACGTCGCCAGGGAACTCCATAGCACAAGAAACCAAGAACGACTGATTTTTGCCTGATTCATAATTTCAGAATTGGAATTTGAAACAGAACTAAGGGAAGAATTTATTATATTTTTAAACATTAGATGGCAACTGGGTTTTCTTAACAATATACGGTCCCTGTGGGACATTTCCTCCCTTCGCTAGCTTAAAGGTTTTGTCAACCATTTAAAGTTTCTCTCTTCAGTTTTTAATAACTAGAGAGAGTTGGTAAGTTGTCCATTTAAATTAGTAAAATGTGAAAATATTTTGTAATTTTGAGATACTTTTAATGCTCACGCATTTTAGTAAGATGAGTTAAGCTGGGTTACCAGCAAAGATTTGCATGTATTTTACAATAAAAGTTAAAAGTCGCTGTGTTAGGCAGAATAATGGCCCCCAAATATGTTCATGTCCTAACCCCCAGGACCTGTACATATGCTACATGGCCAAGGGGAATGTGGTTGCAGGTAAAATCAATGCTGCTAATCGGCAGATCTGAGCTGGGGAGGGTCTCCTGGATCACGCAGATCCCCCATGGTGATCACGAATGTCCTTGAGTGGAAGGGGGGCTTGGAAGAGGGAACCAGAGAGTTAGAGACTGATCTGAGGATGTTACCCTGTTGGCTTTGAAGATAGAGGGAGGACCCCTCAGACAAGGAATACAGAAGGCTCCAGAAACTGGAAAAGGCAAAGAAATAAATTTTCCTGAGAGCCTCCAAGGGGAGCACAGCACTGTAACACCTTGCTATCAGCCCCGGGAGACTGTGTTGGACTTCTAACCTACAGAACTATAAAATAATACATTTGTGTTGCCACTTGCAATGCCACTAACTTGTGATGCCACTAAGTTTGAGTTGACTTGTTACAGAGAATAGAAAACCTGTATAGTCAAGGAACAGAACACTGCAGTTACCTCTTGCTACCAACCTAGTGATCTATTACATACCGATGCATTCCCCACGAATGTCCAGCTGGAATCCTTTGTTGCACTCACACCGGTAGCTCCCAGGAGTTGGAATGCAGTGTCCGTTTTGACAGAGGTGACGAAACAACTGGCAGTAATCAGTGACGTTGACTGGCAGCACCCCTAAAGGAATCATATTAAATCCCATTAAAATGCTTTGTAATTAGGGTGTCTTTCATCAGCACTTAATCTGGCAATAATGGGCAAGATGCTGGATCATAAAGGAAGGAGACCCTGGGCAAACAAAGGTCAGCTGGCTTCAATAAAGCATACTTCCATCCTGCTCACACAGAGATCGCATGTGCACTGTGCACTGGCCAGGTATCACCTGCTTCTCTGTCTACTCCTCCCCACCCCTTTTTCCACCCCAATCTCAAGATTCCAGGTTGGAGGCATAAGGCAGTGAGTTATTGGCATTTACTTGCAAAACTGCTTTGTATGACTAATAATCCAAGGATAATTTTTATACCTCCTCTATTAATTCATCCTGTAATCAGATTTAAATCTCTCCCAAATCTTTCCCACAGTTGACTGAAAACATCTATAACATAAAAGGACATTAATCTCTGGAGAATATGAAACCTCCCATTTTTAATCTAAGAACTAGGTAAATTGGGAAAGTTTTATACAACACTATATAAACTCAAAGTTAATCCAAGATTTGGCAAAATTATTTAATGACTAAAGCAGCATAACCAACAACAAAAAAGTTAAGCTGACTAATGCAAGAAAAATTGCTAGATGAGTTCTGAATTCTTACTTGGTGGTTCCCGAGATGGATACGGATAGTCCACTGGTGGTCGAGGGCCTAGAACGCCAGGTCCCGGAGGAAAGCCAGGAGGAACAGGGTGAACTGGAGGAATGGGGCCAATGGGTGGGGGAGGATATCCTGGTCTCTCGGGAATCACCATAGGGACAGAGCACAGCTTGTTGTAATCCTCTGGAAAAACACAACAGAACACGGCAGCTAAGCTGTAGCATCTGTCATTGGCCCACAGAAATCATCCTTACTTCTCAAAGAAACCTTTGAGTAGCACTGATCTTCAAACCGCGTAGGTCAACTGAAGAAAAGGAAAAAACCCAACTGACTTCATTCCTATTCAGAATAATCTACAACAGCAGCCATACTGGTACAATAATTCAAAACCCAAAACAAACTTACCAGGGGGTGTACCAATGCCTCTTTCAAACCCAGGAAGTCTTTAACTTACATCACAATTCACTTCAAAGGAGAAGAAATGCCACTTTCTCCATCTAGTCCCACCTGTGGATCCCAAAGGACTCTAAAGAGTACCCTGAAAAGCCCAGATTTTATTTCATGCGCAATGGAAAGCACTGGAGGGCTTCAGCAGGGTTAAGACGTGAGAACATGAACATTTCCAGGTCATTCTTGCTAACGTGGAAGATGTACTGGAGGGAGCCAAGGCTGTAGCAGAACCCGGGGCAAGACAATGATGACTGAACAAAGGTGGTAGTGATGGAATCAGACAGAAGTAGATAAATTTAAAGCACATTTTAGAGAAAAATGAATAGTGCTTGGTGCAGGAGTAAATGTCAGAGTGGAGGGAAGAGAAAATTGAGAATGACTTCTAATTTCCTGGTTGTGCAATTGGGTAGATAGATGCAGGCTCTGATCCCTGGGGTGGGGAAAAGTGTGGTGGGGGGGGGTTTGGGGGGAGGAAGCTCTATGTTCCATCTAAACAGACGAGTTTTGAGACATCAAACATCCCAGTGCAGATGTCACACAGCATTTGTCTAAGAGAGTTTGAAGCCTAAAGAGAAGTCAGGCTGGACATAAGTTTTGCAGTTATCAGTAGATGGATGATACCTAAAGCCATAGAGATGGATGAGCTCATCTAAGGAAGGGAATTTGAGGACAGAATTCCTGAGGAACACCTACTTGTGAAAGACAGCAGAGTGATGGTGAAGGAGGGGCCCACGGGGCCCAAGGGGTGGTGGTCTGCTGCCAATGCTGCCTAATGACCCTCTGAACCAGTACACCCTCATTCAGGCCGATTCCTATTTCCCACAATGCCATGTCTTTATTAGAAGAAATTGTCTTTAGATCTCTGACACTTTTCCCCCCCGGGCTTCCAAACAGGTGTTTTTAAACAGCACCCAGGTTTCCAGAGATGTATTCACTTAACTAATCAGTTTCATGTTTCCCACAAATAGCCATATTCTGTCATAGTAACCTTCCTTGAGAAAAATGACCATGCAATTTTTAATGTATTTTTACTCTCTTGCTAGAATATTGATAACTGTATTATCACTGTCACAGAGAGATTCTCCCATAGTTATTTTCCATATTGGTTTAATCCATTAATAGAAATTAGGCCAATATTTTTCATTTCTTTGTGGACTAAAGTCTGGCTTCTTCTAAGACCCAGTAAAATGTCTTACTGAAATACATTCATAATTCAACCTCCCATGCTCAGCCTAGCCCTTAAATTGTGTCTTAAAATGCACATAAGAGGAACCTGTTAATGTGCTGAATTTAATTGAATGCCAATTATATTAAAGGACTCGTTTTGCTTCCAAGCATCAAGCAGCCTTTCTTTCTTTTTTTAGTCTTTCAGCATTTGTATAAAAGAAGTTCCATTGCTTATCGTAATTTCCGCTAATTAGGTGGGTATAGTACTTTAAGCATTAAATGCATCAGGTCCTCTCCAGGAGAGTGTATCAGACTGGGTCCTGTACTTTCTTCAGCTTAATAACTGTCCATTCAATGCCTTTACCTTCAGGATCAGCAATCTGGGGCGAATTTTGTTCAGTTGATGTCCACCTCTCCTATCCCCATTTAACCCAGAGATGATACGGATTTTATTTTTTGAAGAGTAAAAAACTGACCTATCTAAAATATTCCTTCCTATGTCCTCACTCTCGGTCAGAGGCCCAAGCTCTGTAGCACTGGTACTGGAACATTTGGGCAAACACACACCTACCCACAAATGTGTTTTCTCTATCAGTCTGCTTTGCCTGGGCCTACTTCAGCCTGTGCATCTTTCCTGGTACACCTAGGTCCCAAGGGAACCAGGCCTTCTGCCCCGAGTGTCCCAAAGTAGGTCTTCAGGCACCTAAACCTGCTCCAGTTTTCTCTCTCCTCTACTCAAGCCTCAACACAGGAAGAAATCCACATCGATGCTGCTGATTCCTAAGTTAACATATGTATTTAAAAAGCAATTTTCCTGGTACCCAAGCCATACGTCTTAGTAGGAAGTCACGTGTGTCTAAACAGCGACCTACTAAATGGTCTCCCTAATGAATGAAGGAGGGTGGGTTATATTTTTAGGTCAGAGACCGTAAGCAAATCAAACAAAATATATGACTTGGTATATGTTAAAAGATATTGAAAGATTTTATTGCTTCTTTAACTCACACATATAATTCTCAGCAATAAACAGAAATTTTATAGCAACATCTGTGAGCAATTCTATAACCCTCGATAATGGGCAATTCGCATTCTGTGAGTAGCATACTCTGAAGTATTTCATTTACTCTGCATTATCCACCCTCACCTTCCTTTTCTCTCCCAAATGTCCCTGATTTAAACACACTTTTCAGGAACCAGGTTGAGAAGGAGATATAACCCCAGTTATAACTTAGAACTGCTGGGAAAGATGTCACTTAATAAATTCTTCATTCTACTGATTGCCTCCTATAAGCAAGATTTTGCTAAGTACTGTGGAAGTGTTAAAAAAAAAAAAAGCATAAGGAACATGGGGCTATAATGATGTAGGAGATGTCCTAATGAGATTTACCAGCTAGTGAAAACACAATGTATGAACGCACAGAGGCACAAGGCAGGGCTGGTGGGACGGGTGCCGCAGCAGGAACAAAAGCCTGGAGCATTGAGGACAAAGCAGCAATTCCAGCTCGTTGTCTAGGGAGAGTATATGGGCCAGGTCACCTTTGAGCCAATCCTTAACAGACAAGAGGGTAGGTAATGAGCAGGATGGCAGGGGTGAGGAAGAAGGAATAGGACCTGAACTGGGGAGAAGTGTTAAGAGAAAAGAACATTTGAGTTTAGAAATGCTGTGACTGGGTTCAAGGAACACCAGATCACATTATGTAACAAGAAAATAAAGCTGGCCTGGCCAGTGTGGTTCAGTGGTTGGGCCATGAACCAGAAGGTCACGATTCAATTCCCAGTCAGGGTACATGTCCTGGTTGTGAGCTCGATCCCCAGTGTAGACCATGCAGGAGGCAGCCAATTAATGATTCTCTCTCATTACTGATGTTTCTACCTCTCTCCCCCTCTTCCTTCCTCTCTGAAATCAATAAAATATATATTACAAAAGAAAAGAAAGCTATTACAAAGAACAAGAGTTAAAAGATGAACAGGGAACAGATTTGGGGACTAACTATAAGGCTAAGTACTAAAATCTTATTTTCAAGAAATAAAGTGACTTAGACCAGTATATATGGCCTGACTTCATCCTGGGAAAATTTTTCTGGACATCTTTCTCTACATTTTCCCCCAGACATAATTTTTTTAACTGAACTCCGGATGAGTTATGCTTTGGGAAATGTATGTGGCGGCTGTGGAGTTCACGGAGATCAGCTAGTAGGCTACCGCAATAGCCCAGACGCGGGAAAATGAACATTACGTGGAAATAAATATGACAGATGAAAGAGATATTGTAAAAAAAAAAAAGTCAACAGAACTTGGCAAGTAGGAAAAGGAAAGTGTCAGATGTTAGGGAAGGAAGAAATGTGTACCCAGAATAGCTCCCCTGAAAGGCTCTGGGAGAGCCGCGTTTGATTCGGAGCTTTGGAGGACTGCATGCGGCCAAAAGAAATAGATGCGAATAAGAGGGAGCAATTGCTTCCAGAAAAGGGTGCTGTTCGGTGGTCATAGGCAAGCGAAGTAAGAAGCAGTACCTGAAGCAGTGTTATTGATATAGGCCTCTATGTTCCCAGTCCATGACCTGGGGAAATTTTCCTGAATGTCATCTCTTATTTTGGGGAATCTTACTTACCTGGGTTTCCATGAAATCTGCCTCATGCACGTTGCCACCAGGCCTGTGGGACCGAGTCGGGACACCCTGCAGTAAGCTGGGAGGGCTCTTACCAGTTGCTCTGATGGGACACATTTCAGGGGCGAGGGCGATCCCCGGAGACCAGCATCGGCCGATATCACAGCAGCACTGCATTTTGGTTATGGACTGTGGCAGCTGGTTAGAACAGCGCCCGTTTGCCAGAGCCGTGTAACAGTATCCTGGGCGAACGTCTGAGAGAAGAAAGAAACACGCACACACATCACTGAGATCAAACTGGTTACAACACTCTGCTGCCCGCCACCTCTGCGTTTCCCATTTGGGCTCCGGCAGCAGGAACGGACACTCCTGCCCCTGGAAGGGAAGCTGCGAGCCCCGCTCAGGAACAATGCTCCGACAGAAACCCTGTCTTCGGCTCACACCTTGTGCCCCTGCGAGCTGGTGCACTTGGCCCAAGGCCCACATTCCAATCCCAAGGTGGGAACGAATGATTACAACCATATGTGCCATAGGAAAAGAGAGACTAAGAAAACCACGGCGGTGACAGTTAATTATTACAAAGACAGGTCTCTCTACTGAAGGGAGACTGTGTTGTCCTTGGTTTCAAACGATTTCATTCGAGCCCCTTTAGGCAAATATTGATATAAATCTATTTTAAAACAACATTAAGTCTGCACTATAGTCTGCATTTCTAAAAGATCTTTCTTATTTTGCAGTCTGAAACTATGAGTCAGACTTGAGGGGTTTTTTTTTTAAGGAATGAGCCACTTTGCAGACAGATTCAATGCTTGCTAATCAAGATTTCCTTTTGTCCTGGGGCCCTAACGAATTTTATAAGGCACGAAATATTTACAAGTTCAAAATGTAGGCGATTCCAAGTTCTTAGTCCTATAGGAGACAATGGTTCTGGAAGCATTTATTTATTTATTTATTTTTGGCAGAAGATATTATCCCAAAGCAACATGGGAAGACATATTTCTCTCTATAGATCACTTTTACTAGGTGACATCATGTCTGACTGTCATGACAACATTGACACACCGAAGTGCAACCCTGGGCTACCAAGAAGGAACCAACTGAACACCTTGATCTACCTGGCACGTGTTTACTCTTCAAGTAAAGCACATCTCTGCACAGATAATACAAAATAATGTTCTGAAATGTAAATAATGTTTTACATATGCCTGTCATTTAAAAGAATATAAGTGGCAAATCCTTTTTGAAGTGTGGAATTTTTTAATAGTAAAAAAAATCTGCCCCTATGTTTCCTATAAGACTAAATATTAAACATTAAGTTTGCCCAAAGAGTTATACCTAGCATGGTTTTCATCTACATCCTTCTTAGGAATGCAAAGCCTTCAAATCTTGATGATTGCAATCCTATATAATAAAAGCCCAGCGACCGAATGGCAGAACAACCAGAATGACTGGTCGACCAGTTGCTATGATGCACACTGACCACCAGGGAGCAGACACTCAAGGCAAGAGCTGCCCCCTGATGGTCAGTGTGCTCCCACAGTGGGCGTGCCACTTGGCTGGCCGGGATGAGCGGCTGTTCCTGCTGCAAATCCCGGGGCCAACAACAGGCAGGAACCCAGGCTGAATGGATCACTGCCTCCTCGTCCCAGGCTCCTCCTCCTCGCTCCCTGCTGCCTCTTCTGGATGCCTGCAGGCCTTGCAGTGCTGCCACTGGGCTCACAGAGCTGACCCCAGAGGCTGGGAGGCGGGTTCGTGGCCACTGCAGGACTGAGGCCTACTTCACCGCCTCTCAGTGCTATTGTCCCTGGGTCTGGCCCCGACTGGGTCCCCTGGAGAGGCAAGTGCTCCAGCTCCATGAAAGATGCTAAACCAGGGAGCAGCCACTCAGAGGGCAGGTCCACAGCCACTCGGCTGATCAGGATGAGCGGTGCTCCCACAGCGGGTGGATCCCCGCAGGCCACGCCCCCACCAGGGCACAAATCTCATGCACTGGGCCTCTAGTAAATGAATAAAGTGAAATAAAATTTAAAAACCAGGCTAACTTAGAAGCAGTTACATTGTTAGCATCAAGTGATAAAGGCTACAACAAGCCTAGACAAACTGTAAAACTATGGGTCCACTTTAAAAGGTGCAAGATCATTTCTGAAAAGGACTTAAAACCACTAGCAAGAATGAATGTGCTTTCCAGAAATGTTTTGTGATCCCAATTCCTGCAGCTCTGGTCAGACTAATATTCTCAGCAAAGAGGCAGGACAAGTGTTAGGGGAGAGGGTGGGATAGGGGTGCAGACAAGGCATGTTCTGTGAAGCCAAGGGTGGCACCTCCTCCTGAAGAAGTTGGAGAGATAGGAGTTATTACATTCTAGTTAGCAATGCCTTAAAGCCACTAATACTTTGTATATTCAGGGATTGGTAAATATTTGAAGATCAGAAACCAAAGGCTGTTAAGAATGGAAAGAAATGTTAAAAACTGGCTTATATCCCAGCTTCCAATGAATTTAGTGGTCCAAACCCAGTGTAAACACTTGACCAAAATTTGTCTACATAATTTTCAGCATGGGTTATCTTTCAGAGAAAAGCTGGGGACAGCAAACTCATAATGGCCTAATGCCTATTATTTTGCAAATTAACTATGACACTATGTTACTGCTCCGCTGGCTATCTTATGTGCTAAATCAATGAGAATGAAACTCTTGATCAAAATGGTGAATGTTGAAAAAATTATCAGCCATGTTTCGGTTGCCACAGTCCTTGATTTACAAATGGTACCTGCACATGAAATAATCATTTTGCTTTTGCTTCACTTTTTCCAGAAGGACAGCCTTTGTTAAAAATGCACACATTTATACAACTCAACATTTTAAAGAAAACCTATGGGCTAACAGGTAAAAGAAGAGAAAATCTGTGAAAACCAGACTCTATTTGGAGGAACTGAGCCGTGGGCACACCAGCCTGAAGTTTCCTATGTCATCAGGTAGCAATGCCATAGTAAGTGGGGAGAAAACCATTCTGGTGCTGGATCACTTTGCATGGAGGGTCAGGGGTGGGTTTAGGATAATATGAAGACCTACGGAAGCCGAGGGAGAAGAATGTCAGGATTTGAAGGAGATAAAGGGAGGTAGGGGGAGCCGCAGACACCGTCAGCTATTTTACACCTGTCCTGGCCAAGACACCTAGCAGGAAAGGAACCGGAATTTCCTCCTTTCCCCCTCCCTCTCAGGACCCAGAAGCCACATCATAGCAGAACAAATATATTACAAATAGGTGTTTGCAGGTCCTCCTAGCCTATCAACAGGCCTCTCTTATCCAATCACTAGCATCATTGTGTCCAGCCCAGAGTTAGGGGCAGTGAGGCCTAAACTAGGTACAGGACATCTTTGGGACCCTGGGAGTTGATGTGACAGACACACTACTATGAAAAGACAACCCTACACAAAGGGTCTCAGTGTGCCAACAAATGATCACAGAACAAAAAATAAAATAATCCTGCCAGAGCTTACAGAACACAGAGGGCACTGGGGCTGAGGAGGGCTGAGAGTCGCAGGATGTGCTGACAGAAGGTAACAGAATTGCATGCTTAGAAGAGATATATAAGGAAACACTGCAGACCACCATCTACATATGGGATTTTTCTATTGGTTAGATTTACTGATTCCAAACAGCCAACTTACCAGCTAACCTTGGATTTGTATATAAGTTGGAGACTAAATCTATTTTCCTGCCAATAGGGATTATTTGAGGGGGGTGTCTCTGTGGTTTACCATGGCAGGAAATATTAGCATTAGCAAAGGCAGATACGTCCTCTGGATAATTTTATATAATAAATTGCTAATTATGGGTACCAGAAAGTTCCAAAGAAGGAGAAACAGCGCTTGCCTGGAGGTATGGCAAGAAAGTGACTGCATGGGCTTCATCTGGGAGGAAGCAGTGGAAGGAGGCCAGGTTGTGGACTGAGGCCCAGGCTGACATCCAGCTCCCTCACTTACCAGTCGCTTAAACAACTGGACCAACCTGTTTACCTGGACGCTCTAAACCCCAGCTTCTTCCATCTATGGCACCGTCATGAACATTAAGTTAGGTAACTTCCACAAAGTACCTCATACCAAGGTGATCCATAAATCTTAGTTCCCTCCCCACCCTCTTCCTTTGTAAAAAAATAGCATTAATATATCTAGTAAAAAGAAAAAAAACTTTTAATGTAAGAAATCTGATATGTAAATGTATTTTTAACCATTTTAATGTCATTTGAGTCTCTCTTTGAAAGTTAAAAAAAAATCTACCTATTATCTGGCCAGGAAAGGACTTCCGATCTACGTCTGTGCTAAGCATATCCACTAGAGGTCATATGCTAATTGGGACTTTTTTGGGGGGGGGGGAACTATATATTGCACTTGTCATTCTTTCACTGCAGTTCCTATTCTATGGATAGATCCTGGAAAATCCAGCAATCTGGGCACTCCCATTGTTTCTAATGAAAAGTCAGATATCCTTCCCTCGCTAGTTGTAGTTATCCAAATGTCAACTGTAAGAGACTGCCCTCGGCTTTTATTATATGTGACTAAGTAAAAAGGAATCCAGAATTTCAAGTGCAATTTCGTTTTGGTCAGAAATCCATGGCCTGTGGTGAGGATGTGAAGCTGAGTGTCTCCAAAAATATGGGCCAGAAACAAACATCAAAAGATAGCCTTCACTTTTCTCCAAGGCCATTTGCCACGGGCTTCCTAGCATTGTCCCAAGAGTAAAGGCTTACTCATCTTGATATTCAACAAATCTTTACTGAGTGCCTACAACATAGGAGACACTGTGCTGAGAACCACCAGGGATATGAGGACAGTAGTTACTAGTCTTTAAGGGTAGCTTATGGCATAATTAGTGAGATAAAAACATGCAGACATAGAATTTCCCTATGAGGCCATTTGTGAGAAGCATGTCCCTGGGTAAGGGAGAAATAGCTTTCGGGTAAGCTGATCTGGAACACCCTCAAAGACAGAGGGCCTGAGAAGAATGTGAAAGGGGGCTTGAGCTGGGAAGAAGGGTGTCTTGAGTGGTGGGTGCAGCATGTATGATTACAGGCATGAAGGGATAAAAATGAATGGCCTGTTTGAGGGTGAGAAGCAGGAGCTGTGCTGACAACTTAGCGAGATTGGGAGCGGGCAGAGAGCGAAGCTTCTTAGCTATCAGGCTGCACACTCTGGAACTTGAACTTTAGTCTAAAATAATCGGTTTTGAAGGGAGTCTCAGCAGTTGTTAAATCCAGCAGTTGTCAAATCTATTTTTTAAAACAACAAACCCCTTATTTAATTAATATTTTTCATGGAAGTTTAACATCCAACCAGATAAAAACAGAGCTGGAGGGTGTGGACGTGGGGATTGGGGGTGGAAGGCAACAGCCCTCTCCACTCAGCCTCTCCATGTTCATAGCTCCCTCTTTAACCCCAAAAGCTCTGGGGGGCTTGCAGCACCTGAAGGATCCACTAACCTCCAAATCCTAATGGAAAACTACCAGAGCCAGAGAGTTATTTAATCAGAGCACTACTTGAGGAAGATAAATCTGACAAGATAAATTGTAGAGAAGCCAGGGAGCAGGAAGACCAATGAAAAGATTATGGCAAAACTTCAGACCTGAAATAGTATAGGTCCCAGGAAATGACTGAAGGTTGGGGGTCAAAAGAGAGAAGAATCAAGCAGGGCTTCAAGGTTTGACACTTGCATAACTGCAGGTTAATTCATAGCCTGAGGATATCTGTAGGGTCTCCTGGATCACCCCTCCCTATTGGAGGCAAAAATCCCAAAACAGGACCACAGGGTGCCTCTGCTCTTTCCAAGGGTGCTTGACTGTTTAATAGATTTCCATAGGCGTACATTTTACATTAAGTGAGAAATTATATGACCCCTTAACAGACTTGTTTAGAAAGATGTTATGGAACTAATTGACAGAAACCATTCACGCTGTTTACAATTAGACCTACCTATGCACCTGGTGCCATCGGGAGAGGTGTAGAAACCGGGGGGACATTTGCAAAAGTAGCTGCTGACTGTGTTTGTACATTCGCCCCCGTCACAGATTCCAGGAATGGTGCTGCACTCATCAATATCTGGAACATAAAGAAGAGTTTCGGTACTCACAGAACACAATAGACAACTGTTTGTTACCCAAGGACTCAGATGTGACATTAGTCAAATAGTGTTGCCAGAAACAGCAATCTTTACAGAATAAAAGCTGCACATAAAAAAGTCAATTCAAAGAGTGGGTGCTTCTCCTCTCGATACAGGTTTACCCAAGAAATCCACCAAATTCATTATAAAAGCAAAATAAAATAAATTTCCCCTTTAAAATCTAAAACTTTGTACTGCTATTTCACCAAGTAACTACAGCATGCTAACAGTCCAAATGTCACTTATTTTTAAATTCTGTTTTCTCTTTCTCTCTCCATGGTGTGCATTCAGTTAAGCTTCCTCTCTATGTACCTTATGGTCTGCATCAGTTCTTGCATTGCGTTTCAATCTGATTTTCCACAAAGCAGATACCAAAATCCCACAGAGAAGACCATGTGGTTTGAGTGATGACCAAACTTGGCCACAATGGAGCACTCTGGCTGCCATTACGATGCTTCTCTGTGGGTTCAGGGGAGAGCAGGGGGGAACACTGGGATGCTCCACCCAGAACCCACAACAGTATTAAGAAGAAAGCACCTTTCTCAAAGTGTCCCTAAAAGTTAATTTCTAAGTCATAAAATATCTATCAAAGATCCTGTGGGGAGATAGTGTCTATGGAAAGAAATCTTTTTCTACCTGATAGTATAAATGATTGCTACCATTCCTATTAAAATACAATATATATCAATATCCAAAGAGGTTATTTATGTGATAGCATATATCAGAGAAACGCCATTGTAAAACCAGAATTAATTTGGCCAGATGGAGAATCGTCTTTCACTTGCTGGCTAGGTCAGATGTGGACCCCTTACTGAAGACTATCGCAGCAACAATGAGAATGAGCTGACATGTGCTGGGTGCCGGGCATTGTCTAAACCAGTGATGGCGAACCTTTTGAGCTCGGCGTGTCAGCATTTTGAAAAACCCTAACTTAACTCTGGTGCCATGTCACATATAGAAATTTTTTGATATTTGCAACCATAGTAAAACAAAGATTTATATTTTTGATATTTATTTTATATATTTAAATGCCATTTAACAAAGAAAAATCAACCAAAAAAATGAGTTCGCATGTCACCTCTGACACACGTGTCATAGGTTCGCCATCACTGGTCTAAACGCTTTATGTGTGTCAACTCCTCTAATTACCCCTGTAATTCTGGTGCCCAGGAGGCCTCCAGAGAACTGGCATGAGTAATGCCCAAAATAAGAGCCAAGAGGTTCATTCATAAAGTGATGTTAAACCCAAGTCTCCACTGCCAGGGGCTGGGGAGAGGGAGGAACAGAGTTTCCACTTAGGTGCACACCCTCAAAGGTCAGCAGGTTAGAAAACTCACTGTAGTGCGAACCTCCCTAATTTTCACACAGATCAAGATAGAACTCCCAGGCCATACTCCTCAATGTGAGAAAGCTTCAATGGCTCTGAGTCCCCTTCAGTGCCCTCTCCTGAGTGACACAGCCCTTTCCTCCATGTGTCTAGGGCCTTTCTACTTCCCTGCATCCCCTCACTTCCTGGGTCCTGTTGCTTCCCAGGGAGGGAAGCAAGAGTTCTGATTTCATGACCAGGCTGTGAGGAGGTCTCGAGAGGAAAAGGCTAAATAAATAAAGCATTTGTGTCAGAATCACTCATACTCTGAAATTCATTCATATGAATTTATTATTTCTCCAGGCTCTTATCACTCTGTGTTTATCTCCTACCCGGGACCCCGGGTAGGAGAGTCTGGGAACAGTGGCTTTCTCAGTTTCTGCAAGTCCATCTTTTCAGGGGCCCAGTGAGCAGTGAGGCTTGGCTGGGAAGAGGTGCTTCTGTGCTTGGGACACTTCCCCTCTTCCCCTGGGGCAGGCGAGAGAGGCAGAGCTGCTGGGGAGTAGCTATCCCTTGGGAGATGCTTGTGTCATGCTTGTCTCTCTATGGACCTGAGAAGGGACACAAATGATAGGTCCTTTTCCTTTGGATTTGCTGCCCGGATCTTTGTTCTTGGTCTTCTTTCCCTTCCAACTATCTCTCCCTGGGCATTCTTCCTGTCCCTCAGCCACTTCCCTATCCTAGGGCTCCTCTAGCAGAGGGAAGAAAGGAGGGGGAACTGGAATGGAGGTTGGTCCAGGTATCATTGGGACCCTCAGCTATTCGGGAGCTCCATCCAGGATCATGGACATCTACCCTGAGTGAGAAACAGGGAAAACCAGTTAACCTGATCTGGACCATCTAGAATCTAGATTCTAGATTACTCACTAGGAAGATATAAAACTAAAAATTGTGGAAGTTGTTTAAAAGCAACATGTGACACTACTAATTATGAATGTCACCAAGCTGGTGAGATGAATTTTGCTTTATTACACACACAAAATCCGGTGAAAAATGTGTCACTAAAAAGTAAACAGGCTGATTCTTCAAGTCACATGGAAAAAACCATCAGCCACGCTACCTGATAGTCACACTAGGTATGCCAGCACACATGGTTTCTTAGTCACCCAGCACCGGCAGCCTGATCACAACGGGACAATAGTGAGAAATGCGGCGATGGGGTCTGGATGGCAGGACTGGAAAGAACCCAGATACCATCTTGTTCAACCTCCTCATTTGAAAACGGAAGTAACTCAGAGCTGGTAATCGACTTGTCCAAGATCACTAAGAGGATGAGGGACATTACTTGGACTGGGGCCAGGTCTACTCTATTCCCAGGGCTCTTACGTCTCTACCACAGAGATTTGTTCAGCAACGGTACAGGGAGCCAGTGACCTTGAACAGTGAGAGTCTGTAAGCAGCTGAAGAAGATGGAGCTCTTTCTATGTCTATGGGTTGAGTAACTCAGGAATTCTTGATGCCTGAGCTATAAGAATCCCTAAAGCAAGTAGCCATCAGATAAATATGCCATTATTTCAGAAAGGGAAGTCCTAGGTTTTTGGCTCACATAGTAGGGAGTGTACACACTTAAGAACTACATTTTTAAAAAGCCCTTTGCATCCTGCAGCACTATTATAATTGGGCTGGGCTGGTGATAATCTAAATCCTAAAATATTAGGTTCATAAGGAATCCAAGGGACTTCTTCCAGAAATAAAACTTAATCCTTTAATTACACTTTATTTCTTAATTTCCTCCCACAATAGCCTATGCAAATAGGGCTTGGTTTCCAAAAAGAAAATGCTCGTGTCCTTTTAGTGTGCACACTCCAGTCATTGAAAATTCCTAGTGATGGAGGGCATGGACTGTGTCCGTCTTTCTCCATTCACAGGATGACTCTCAATCTTTTTCTCCCACTTATGAAAATTTAATAATTATTATTTAATCACTTCAGTTTGTTCATTTACACATCAAATGCACCTAAATTGTACATGACTTTTTTTAAGTTTTGAGAAAAGGGGAATATTTTAAGAAAGGAGAATTCTCCCAGAGGAAGATCTTCTGGAAAGCTGTTTCACCATCACAAAGAGAGTGAAGGTTAGCATCTTGTAAATTTGCTAAAGCCAATTTCTGATTGAACTGGTGTGTGTTTTTAAATTACTGCGGGCTTCCAGTCAAGAGGAAGATACATTTAAAAAGCCACCAAAGTAATGACAACGATGCCAGAACAATTTCCACAAGGGCACAGAATCCCATGTGGCCCGACCATCTTCTGGGGGCTCATAGATGGTCTCTTCAGCCTTTCAGCCACGCGGGCCAGAGGGTCTGGAATTCCTCCTATTGAGCATCTGGAGATCATCCTATGCCCAGAGCTATGCCCTCCCCATCGTGAGGCGCTGCAGCGGGAGAAGAGCGACGAGCCTGGCGGGGACCCAGCTCACCAAGCATCCTGAGAGGGCTTTCTGATTACTCAACCGGGATAAGGAGGCAACCGTCTCACAGCAGCCTCCAGGCTAGAGAACACGTAGTATAAACAGGGTCTCTTCCAATATCAATTTTGCAAAGAAAAATAAAAAGGAAGAGAAAAAAACCACTATCTGAATTTAATGTAACAGTAGATGGCAAAGAAAGAAAAAAAAAGGTCTAGCCAAAAGTATTCTGTTTTTATCTTGCTACTGACTTCAATATGTAGCTTGGGGAATGGGGTTAGGGTGGAATATTTGTGGAAAATGGTTAAGTAATTCTCAGACTGAATTTTTGGTCCATTAGATATACCACCATAATAGGTTTCTTAGCATTAATAAAAGGATTTTGAATCATTTTTGTTTCTGTCTGGATATTAAATCCGAGTGTCTTCTGTCTCGTTCACAACCACAGAAGGTGCTCGGTCCCAACTGATGCTAACTGATGGGTCTGGGTGAAAGATAAGGGACGTAGGAAAATGATTCTAGTTCAGACTGGAAGCAATAATAATTTCAGAAAACGAAACAGACTGGCCAAGTCCTACACCCTATATTCCCCTCTCTGAAAGCTGACTCTGTTTCTTGAAGATGAATATATTAATCTGAGACCGCCTAAGCCTGTAAGCCACAGCCCACTCTGATGTGGATTTTGTATGCCATAAATCTTAATAGTGTACTAATGTCATCAAAATGTATGTATGATGATACCTAAAAACATATACCATAATATTTTAAAATTTGGAAGTATAATTGTTAAAGTAGAGGTTGCCCTAGCTGGTTTGGCTTGATGGATGGAGTGTTGTCCTGCAGACTGAAGGGTCCCAGGTTCGATTCCGGTCAAAGGCACATGCCTGGGTTACAGGCTTGATCCCCAGTGTGGGGCGTGCAGGAGGCAGCTAATCAATGATTATCTCTCATCATTGATGTTTCTATCTCTCTCTCCCGCTCCCTTCCTCTCTGAAATATATATATTTAAAGTAAAGGTAATGGTTTACATCTAGGAAAGAAGACAACATAAGTGCTAGAGTGTGAACCAAAAGATGAAAAATGTTTTCTCTGCTGATCAGAGATGTAGGCCTGAGAATGGTGGTACATTATTGTCGGAAATTACATATAAGGTACATGCACTCACCAAAGAAAAGAGGGTTCAATGCTGCCTACTCATTTCCTGGGTGTTTCCCTCTCATAGAAAAAAAATAGTATTTATTACACTTAGAAGCCAGGCCTCAGTAGTGGTGAATATGAACATATTTTCTGTACACATATTTTTAGAAGCTCAATCTATAAACTAGATGCAAATAAATCACTCTACCTCAAGTCATTTTTGTTTAACATAAAAAAGGTGTCCATTTAACAGGCAGAAAAGAAAATTCTAAACTTGACCTAACCCTAACCCTAACCCTACTTGTACCTGGAGAATAAATGAGTTCTTTGGTCTCTTTAAAAAAAAAAAAAATCAAACGTACGTTTTAACTAGGAAAACATTAGAAGATAAGGTATTCTAAATTATATGTAATGATCAAATTTAAATTTATATCTACAGAACTATGCAAAAACATGTGTCTTAAACACTGTAACCCAAATATTGGAAAAAGGGGGACATCTGTAGTAATGTCACAACAGAAATAAAATTAAAATGTCATGTTTTAATATTTAATTTTTGGGTCTAAAAAAGTGGAAAAAGCTGCCAGGCTTTTCAAAGGCATATTATTCCTGGTGAGAATGTTTTATTTACACATTCATAGGAATGACAAAGACAGAAGGAATTAGGAATAATTTACAAAAAAAACTTGCCACTGATTTCGATTTTACCTGCCCCTCCATTTTTGAACTGCAAAGCCTGATATTTCTTACCTTCACATTTTTGTGACACTTCATTAAATTTGTGTCCAGCAGGGCATTTGCACTCAAAAGATCCAACAGTATTGATGCAATTTCCTCCTTGACAGAGCCCAGGGATGGCCTGGCATTCATCCACATCTGTCAGATTTTAGGTCAGAGAGAGAAAAAGAGAGGAAAGAGAGAGAGATTAATTTATACAAAATTTACTAATTCATATAAAATATTCTTATAATGTTTTCTATATGAAGTTATAAGCATTTGTTATTTTTCCATCTTTCCTCATGTAGAGAAGAATTTATACTAACTTTTCGGGGTTTGATCATGCATGCATGCAAAGGTACAATGACAAAAACGGTTGACATTAAAAACTAGAATTATTCAAGAAACCCTTAAAATCAAAATGTAACACAATCTATAGCAAAACTGTCTTTGAGTTGTATTGAATAATTCAGTTAAAACAGACTTCTCTTAAATAAGGTCACTCAGACTACACAAGAGAGCTAATGTTTTTATACAAATTCAATGCAACATGTTCACCTTGCATTCTGTAGAACTGTCTTGTGCAATAAAAATTAAAGAACACAGGAAGTTAGGTCAAGAAGTGGGAAATCCCAGATGAAGCACCTTGCTGGCAGAGTGGTGATGGGAGAGGACCTTTTAAAGTCAGATCATGTCCGCCTAAGCTCAAAACTTCAATCCACATTAAGCCCTAGAAAATGCTCCCTAACCCCTCTACTCTCCGACCTCATGTCCTAACCTCCTCCCTCTCACACTCCTCTCCATGCGCACTGGCATCCTTGCCTGGCCTCAAATACACCAAGGATGCACCTGCCATGGGCTTTGTGGTGGCGGCCCCTCTGCCTGGGCCATTCTTCCCCCACACAGTTGCCTGGCTCATGCCGTCCCATCCATCAGGTCTCTGTTCCTAAGGCACTTCAGAAGCAGACCCCTCCCTGACCAGTCTAATGGCAACACCCAGCCCCCCATCAGTCACCACCCTTCTTAGTTACTCAGCTTACTTTTCTCCATAGGATGAATCACCAAGTGACCCAATACGTAGATTTGCTTTGTTTTGATTTTATAAATTGATTATCTTCCATACAGCAGGTTCTTTGTTCATTTCGTTCACTGCTGTATCACAGCACCCAAGGAAGAAACCTGTGGGTCCTACATGGAGCCTCAACTATGAACCTCCCAGGAACAAATGTAATCAATGAAGGCTCCTGACATCCAGTTAGAAAGATGGTGAAAGTGCCATCTTTCTCCATGTACTCTTTCTCCATCTTTTCATCCGCAACATGCAAAAGTCTGGTTTAGTGAAGAACCCCAGGGAAGCAGTCTAACGCTTCTTCCTCTGCTTTGGGTATTTTCTTAGAAATCTAGAAGCCTGGTACCCTCTTTAGTTTCACTCTTCATTGTGTGAAACAAGAGAGCGATGACCAGTTGTAAGACCTCTAAGCAACCTGAGTTCTTGAGAAAAGTTGGCACAAAGGAAAAGGGGCAACAAAGGAACAACCATTTATTTTGGTGTAAAAGTGTTACTTCCTGTTTTAGATGGAATGTCCTGGCCCACAAATTAATGACTGTATGTGAAATATAATTAAGTTATGTTCTAGAGCTCATCTCAATTTTTTCTTAGGTCAGAATTTCCCAGTCACTTGGTAGGTTAAATATGTTTATTCAAATGTTATTTAAAATTAAGATTGTACATAGAAGCAAAATTATACAGTCTTGTTGATTGTTATTTTTGGCCAAGAGGAAATATAGATGAGGGCACTTCTCTACTGGCCATACATTCTAAAAATGAAGACCCAATAAGCTCCTTAATAAACCCTTTTGCCCACAGCCCCTTACATCTGGCCCAAGGTCTCACAACACCAGCAAGGAGACAGAGCCCCAAGCAGACAGCAGAATCCCTCAGGGTGGAGATGAAGAATTTCATTCACAACGTGGCAATACAGCTACCATTTCTATTCCATGGCTTTTCACAAATTTTCTTATAAAATGCTTTTTTTCTTGGGTGTTGAATAGCAGAGTCAGGGAGGGACAGAAAGAAAATGCTGGAAAAGTCCAGACTGTATTAAATGAATAGCAAAGCTAAAGAGCAGTAGCTCTTTCCTCTCCCTCTTCATTCTCTTTCCCCCAAAATATCTTAGCACCTCAGCCTCTGACTCATGGATGGGCAGCTGGGGCACTCAAATTCTGGCTCCCTGGTCAGTCAGTGAGTTCATGGGCATTAGCTGACCTCAGAACACCAAGGCCAAGAATTTCTTCAAAATTCACTGGGACTTTCTAAGGATGAGAAAAGCGAAAGGCACCAAAGAAAAGGGGAACTAAATCTACCCTATCTTATAAAATCATACACTCAACTGCTTTGTAATTCTTGGGTTTCAAAGTGACTTCTTGCTGTTTCTGACACTGAGAAGGATACATCCAAAGGAGTCGTATGTTGTACATAGAAGCCAGAAGCCAGCCTCAACAGTGTTTCTCAGGAGATGAATTTATTGAAGTCTCATTTAATGGAGACCCATAGGACTGTGTGATTAAGCTCAAGTTCTGTTTTATTGCATATTACCCTTAGAATTAACATATAGAACAAAACCAAACTAGTCTCTATTTGCCTCAGAAAAGCATACCCTGAATTTTCTGCAAATATTGCAACTTGCTAAAAAAGCACCGAAGATGTTTAAAGGAAACAGAGACAGCCTGGGAGTTTTCAGGCCCATCAGTTTAGTGCACGGCTGCCTCCGTTCACTTCCTCCTGTTTCCTGCCAGACATCCAGACAATAAAAGAATTTGTACAGCTGGAAGAACAGGAGTAAAAGCCAAAAACAGAGTAAGGGCTTCTAGGGGAGGCAGGAGAAGAAGCAAGCAGGCAACATCTGGGGATATTTAAAACTGTGAACCAAAGCCTAATTTATTTCTGACTTGTAAAGAAAAAAAAAGCATAATGTAGCCCATAAAATGGAGAGAGATGCAACAGTAAAATGGAGAGAGATGCAATTTTCTTCAGGTCAACTGAGTACAACCTAGGAGACACGGAAACTCCAACGATTTTATATGAAGGGGGAAAAAATCAAGAAAAACAAACGACCTTGACCACAAATTTTGCTTTGTGTGCACCCACAGCATTGCTGTAATGCGCAGCACTGCTAGAACTAGAATCATAGCACCTCAGGGAAGCACCTCTGAGGTCCCAAGGAGAAACTGCTGGCAAGGAAAATCCAGGGAGAGCCACACTTCTAACGCCTAAGTTGGATGTCATGCCGTCAGAGAAATCGTGAAGTTATGTCTCTGACGCTGCTTTTCCATTCTCTCCAACGTTGTTGGAAAATGGCCCTCCAGAGCAAACGAGATGAATCCATTAATAACTCCACCAGCCCGGGATTTACCTTGACAAGCTCCTGTGCGGATATTGGGAATGAAGCCACGGCGGCAGGGGTGGGGCTGGGCAGGGCACATCTCGCAGGGGTGGCCCCAGGCTCGGCCCACGGTGGCGCAGCAGAGGGTTTTTGTGCAGACAATCCCGCTGAGCTGTCCCTGGCACATCTGGTTGCTGACCACAGTGAAGCACGGGCCCGTCCTGTAATCTGAAAATAAAGAAGAAGAAAGCCATGAAAGTCCAGAAAGCCAGAACCATCCTGCAGAGGAACCCTGTGCCCCATCTTGCTTAACTCCAAATCACTGACCTCATATGATGTCTCGGGAAGTCCATTCTAACTCTGAACCCCATTTCCCTCTCCTACAAAATGGGGATAGACACATCAATTCCTACCCATTTAGAAGATGCTGTTGTGAGGATCAGACGAGCTAACAGATACTACACCTGAGCTGTGCTATACAAATATAACATGATGACATTATTACCTGTCCGCTCACTCAGGAAAAGGTATCAGTGCCTACTAGGAATCAGCCCTATGTCTGATTAGATGCTTCCGTGATTAGGAGACGAAGTCCTTGCCCTCACAGAGCTCACAATCTATTATTATTCAGGCTGTGAAAACAAAGAATTTAAGAACCTTCAGCAAGGCAACTCATGACCCCTTCTACTTGGGAGCTCCTTAAACGAAGAAATAGTTACCTGTTTCTCCTGAACTGAGCCTATCTTATTTCAAATACAAAAACAAGTAAACAACCAAAAAAGGTGTTTTTTTATTTATTTAGTCACGTTAAAGACATGAGGTATTGGATATAAAGAGTATGGGCAATGGTCTGAAATCATTATAATCCCTGGGCAAAAGGAACATCTTAAAGCAAACAGAAATAAGCTAAGGAAGGTCACAGGAGAATTTCCAAGGAGTCTCACCAAACACAAGATCTGCCTTTTTTTTTTTTTTTGTATAAGGGAGAAAGTCCATCTGGATTCAGCAACCAACAAGAAAGCAAGAAAGAGTAAGATGTGGGGAACACAGAAGACCAAAGCCAGGCTGTCCTCTGTCGCCTGTGGGAGAAATTGGGACGATAATGTCCCCTTCTGCTCTACAATGGCCTCAACTGATAAGGGAGGCTGGGCTGTGGCAAGTCTCATGGGCTCCCATCCGCTACCCAACACTGAAAGATTCCTTGTGTCATTTTTGGAAGTGCACAGATACAGAGAGAGTGTTTCCTGAGAGTCTTGGGATGGACTAGATGACCTCAGTAAGTTCCTTTCCCCACTGAATTCTATGGTTTTATGAACATCCCTGTGTGTGCCAATGACACCCTGGGTTATGTTTTCATTTTTATTTTTTTCTTTCTTTCTCTAAGTAGCTCATGGAACAGAGACATGCAATTTACTAAGGACAAGTCTTCATGACAGTACTGCAAGACTAACCTTAGACCTTTGTTCCCCTCAAGTCTCTATATGCTCGGGCCCCGCCCACCTTTCCCAGCCCACCTTCTTGACACTTCCTCAGTTTGTCTTTTTACTTTGTTTATGTATATTTCACCCACATGATTATTTTTTACTTTTATATAGTCAAATTCTAGGTATATTTTAATATTCTCCATAATGCCATATCTGTTGAAAATCTGCTATCTTCCTCCCTCGATACTGAATTCAAACAAGAATACAGACATTAAATGCTTGAGCTGTTGAATAAAATCTCTGCCTTCATCTCATTCTGTCAGTAAAGAAAACGTCACTCAGCATCATGGCAGTTTGCTCTTAGATGCAGGAACTACATGGGAGAAAGGGCAATGCTAAAGTCATCTTTCTTTCTTTGTCGCAAACCTTCCACATATTACCTATAGTCATTCAATGAATACTTCTCTGATATATAGTGTTTCTTTTCCTATTTTAATATTTTATCATGTATTTTTGATTCAAAAATAATTATTTCAGACAATTAGCAAAAGCAGTAACATATAAATAAGACAATACTAAAAATCTAATTATTCACAATTATTCCCATAGCCCTTACATGTAATTACACATAAAGAAACGCTTGATACCATATTGGTTATATTATCTGATATACATACTTTTATATGTGTGTATGTTTAATCGGCAGTCTGACATCCCCTGAGGGATGTAGTAGTACACGAAGCAGCAGGTGGCTGGGGAGGAGCCTGCACCGTTCCGCTTATCCCAGACCGCTGCGCTTGCCGCCACCACCCGGTAAGCTTGCTGAGCGACGCTCCCACTGTGGGTGCGCACTGACCTCCAGGGGGCAGATCCTACATTGAGCATCTGCCCCCTGGTGGTCAGTGTGCATCTTAGCGACCAGTCTACCAGTTGTTCGGTCGTTCAGTCGATTTGGCTTTTATATATAGATATAGTATTCCAAAATATGATTCTGATGGCATAATTTTCCAAGAAGTTACAGAATGATATATTCAGTAATTTTGTTACTGTATGTCACTTAAATTGCTTCCAATTTTTCATTATTATACACAACATTCAGTGTATATTACTGATGAATTCCTTTAGCATGAAAAATGTTGTCTCATGCACAGCCATCAAGATTTTTATGACTATACAGATCTTAAATCTGAGACTAGAAAGGTCACAGAAACACAATCTTTTACTTAAAAAACAAATAAAGCCTTCCATGTTAGGTAACAAGGAAGAAAATTTAGGTTTATTTCTTTTTTTCCCCTCTTAATGAATTGAGACAAGGGCGAATGCTTTAATTAAGAGATTCATGTTGGCATGCCAGTTTCAATCTTTAAAAAACATTATGAAACATGAAGTTTAATTAAAAACCCTCTCTTCAACACTGCTTGGATTTGTTTTCCCTCTTCATTTTGCCAAGACACCCTAAGGAATTATATATGCAAAGATTCAGGGTAGGTGCAAACACTGTGTTTTGTGAGTGACACTAACAAAATCAGGGCACAAAACAAAAACGCTAGGAAAATCTGATTCAGTCCTTTCTAACACTGGTTCATGACTTCAAACATGAATTCCTCATTGGAAGGCCTTCACAAAAAGAAAAATAATCCTTAAGACTTTTCCAGGGTCAACAACAGCTTGCTCTCATTTCAATATGGAACACATGGAATAGAACGGCACTTGTTAATTCTGACAATATTCATTAGTCATCTCTAGAGCCCATAGGGAGCAATCTTTATTAAATATTCTGGATATTTGGCAAATAGTCTGAGTGTGTATAACAAAATTTACGGACTTAACACATTGCCACTCTAGATCCTTATCACTGTGGACAAAGACCCAGCTCATTTGCCAGTGCAGATTAGTAAGTGGACATCAATGTATTTATAGAGCCATATTTTCAATAAAAATGGCTGATTGCAGAGGGAGAGGCATAATCTGGATGAAACAGAGTTGGATCTAAAATCTCTTGGAAGGTCAATGCTGCATCAACGTGGTTTTCAAATGCCATTCCGATTTGGCAGCATGTGCTTTTTGTCCCATACTTCATTTAAATTGCCAAAGCTATGCTGCATTTAGTACAATACTCCAACCACAGGGGGGGAAAATCTGCCCACACTTCCAATTCCTTCCTAATAATCCAATTATGTACAATTATTCCCATAGCACTTACATGATAACAGGCTAAATTTACATACTCTTTTTATTTTTTTCAGATAGTCCCAGATAGACAGGGAATGTGCCTTATTCAAAGCTTGGTAACGTCTGACTCATTCCTTCAACGTAAATCATTATCCCTAATGCAACTAAAATATAGTACTAAAAAGACTGGCTGTTTGCAAATTGCTCTACAATCACTTCCATATAAGACCTCCATGAACTAGGGCAACAGGCCAAGCCTTTCCAAAATTAAAATGCAATTTTACTTGTTTTTAACTGGCTTACCCTAGTATAGCTAGTTCATGGGAAATTCTGCCTCTAAATGTTCCCATTCTGAGTGGTTAGGCTCAAGGATTGTTCCCCAGTCCCAACAGATTTGGCCTCAGTGCTTGAGATCTAAACAACGTGTGTCTGCCTCAACCCTCAGCTCCTTCCCAGCTCTGCAGCTCAGAAGCTGTGACATACAGCATTATGTCACCTTCATTTGCATTCAGACTTCACTCTGAAGCAAATGCATCATTCACAAAGCATATTCTGTGGTCCAATGAATTCTTGTCACTCCTGCCCAGTCACGAAACCACAAACTGCAGGGAAGGCACAAGGATATAATTATGGGCACTAGGCTCCAATTATTTTAAATCCTTTTCATAAAAATTACAAACGAAAGGATGCGATATCAATTTATTCATGACAGAGAGGGTCACCGCCATGCTTCTTTCTTCCAGGTAGGTTGCCCTGGGGCGCACTGGTTTGCCTAAGTTCCTGGTATATGGAATTTTAATACATCCTTCCCAGGAAAGAGTTCAGAGAACTGTTAGTCTGAAGAAAATTAAGGCAAAGTTCCATGATCATAATCAGTCTCATAACTGCTATTTCTTCTTACTCCAATCATTCTTAACCTTAGGACATAACCAAATCCCCTGGGGAGGCTCTGCAAAATACTGACGCCTGGGCCTCCCCCATGGAATCCGACACAGTAGATGTGGCACTGGGAAAGGGCATCCATATTTTGCATAAGCCCCCAAAATGATTTTGCCTTCTAGGGCTCTCAGTTGAATCCGTCTCTACTTCTTTTTTAAACTTTATTGAGAAGAGCTTATGTTCCATTGTTAATTGGAGGTGTTTGCAAGGTAGCTGGCTGCTTACCTAAAAGTCTAACCCTAGAAATGTGATTCTAACCCTGGAATCACCGACACTCAACACAACCTAGTATCTCCCAACCAGGACCACCCTTCTAATCCCGGCAAAATAGTGTTTATTTCCTTAGTGTTGACTGATTTTGAGACACGTCATTATGTTCTTTATTAATTATACTCTCCACAAGCTCACTAACCAAACAACAAACCAAAATTTAAGAAGGCTAACACACACTACTCCATTGTCCTAATAGTCAACTGAATTCACAGTGTTAGAAAGCACATTTATATACATGGCATCACTCCACTACCATAAACCCCTACCTCCTGCTTCCCTGTTCAGTGCTGGAGCTACTACCTAGATGGAACTCCAGGGGCATTCTCCAACCAAGATCCTAACTGAATGATCAAACTTAGGTCCACGGGTCCTGATTTGATGAAATATATGTAAAGTATTAAGCATTATCTATGAAGTTTA